TCAAATGTTAGATCATAACCGGTTGTAAAAAGAAAAAAGAAAAAGAAAATTAGATTTCCAACTTTGACAGGAGGAACAATTCGATGTAATCTCTTTTGTATTCTTTTTTATTAATTCACAAATATTTCTTTTCTATTTTCTATAATAAATATTATCTCCCATTGTGTAAAGTATTCAAAAACTATTATATAAACCACCATTGAGATATCCTATGATACATACACACACATATATATATTACATAATTCTTATTAGACGTTTCAAGCTTTTTCTAAACTAAAAATTCAAATGAATTTTGATGAGTACGAAAAGAGTGGTGAGACGTGTGCCGTGCAGAAAAAGGGGAAGTAAAATAAAAAAAAAAATAAAGAAAAAAAAAATAAACCTCTCTCAGCAGCCTTTTGTAGGAGAAAGTAATACGCGTTTAAAAATCCGGAAGTGGTAGTGTTTTGTAAGGAAGACCAAGGGAAGAAAGTGAATGCGAGAGGTAGTGGTGGTGTAGGTGAGGGGGTGGTGGAAAGTAGGAAAGAAAGAAGAAGAAAAATGTAAAAAAAAAAAAGAAAAAAAAAGTGAGTCATGGAGAGGAGTCGAAAAATCTAATAACATCTCCTTTACGAAACCACCGACTCGAATACCCCTTTTCATTATTCACCGGAATTCTCGGGGAAATAGTCGAAAAAAGGGCCGGACGTTCTCAACAACGACTTCCTGAAAAGAATTCCATTTCGTCGTATATATATATATATATATATATATATATATATATAGGATGTGTGTGAGAGAAAGAGAGAGAGAGAGAAAAGGATACGCGTTCGTTCATTTGCTTCTTCCTTTTCTTTTTCTTTTTCTTTTTTCATCTTTCTTTTCTCTCATTTTATTTTCTATCCCTTTCACTCTTATCATATCCCCGTTTTTTTCTTTTCCAACATTTAGAATGTGTATACATGTTCATACGTATAACCAACCCCTATCCCCATCCCCATGTATATAGAAATATCATTAATAATTCGAAGTACGAAAGTGGGTCGATCGAAATAGAAAAGAAACGGAATACGAAAAAGGAAAATGAAGAGAGAGAGAGAGATGAAAAAAAACTAAGGGCGGTGGTAGGACGGTGGTGTGTGGAAAGGGGCATGAAAGAAAGGATGGAAGGAAGGAAGGGTTATTTGTATAAAAAAAAAAAATATAAAAAATATGCGTTCACGATAATAATCACCATTGACGATGATGATGAGTTTACCTACATTCTTTTTTATCTCTCTCTTTCATTTTATTCTTTGTCTTTACTCTTTCTCAAAGCCTTAAAACCCGCCCCACCCAACCACCCACTTCCGATCATCCCTCATTCTCTCAGTTTTTTTTTTTTTATCCATTTTCCTTTACCTTTCAGTTGAGAGAATCGTGCCAATTAAAAAATCCAACCGTCTCGATTTCTATCGGTTCGATTATTAGGAAAGGTCGGTCGGTGGATTGTACTCTCTTTCTCTCTCTCTCTTTGTCTCTGTCTCTCGTTCTATCAGTTTTGTTCGTTCTCCTTGTTCGAGAAATTTCACGAACCATTTAACATCGTGCCTTTGCAAAGTTCGTTCTTTACCTGCCCTTCGATAGCTTCCTCTTTATTCGGGCGTACGCTAATAACAAGAGGTAGAAGGAAAAAAATAGAAGAGAGAGAGAGAAAGAATATATATAAAAAAGGTATATAGTATTGCAAATATAAATGCATTTATTGTGTATATATATATATATATATATGTACTCATATCACACAATAAATAATTATGAAGAATTTCATTAATATTTGAATTGGTTTGTTTAATATTAACACAGCAGTATTTATTATTATAATTATTATTGAGAAATATAATATAATTATAATAAATTATATTTGAAACACAGAAAAGACAAAATTTTATATCGAATTTGTACATGTTCCATACGTTATAAATGCATATTAGCATAAAACGTATAAGAGATAGAATGAAAAATAGGATTCTTTCTAAACAAGATATATTTTGTTAATAAAATTCAATAAGTCAGTGCTGATTTTATTTATAGAAGGAGGATACTACAACATATATATAAGATATATAGTATTGCAAATATAAATGCATTTATTGTGCATATATATATGTACTCATATCACACAATAAATAATTATAAAGAATTTCATTAATATTTGAATTGGTTTGTTTAATATTAACACAGCAGTATTTATTATTATAATTATTATTGAGAAATATAATATAATTATAATAAATTATATTTGAAACACAGAAAAGACAAAATTTTATAATAATCTCGATCAAATTTGTACATGTTGCATACGTTATAAATGCATATTAGCATAAAAAGGATTCTTTCTAAACAAGATATATTTTGTTAATAAAATTCTATAAGTAAGTGCTGATTTTATTTATAGAAGGAAGATACTACAACACATATATAAGATATATAGTATTGCAAATATGAATGCATTTATTGTGTATATATATATATATATATAAGTATACTGTATATATAGTATACATTATACATATTATACATATTATATTAACATCAAACTTATAAGAGATAGAAAGTAAAAAGGATTCTTTCTAAACAAGATATATTTTGTTAATAAAATTCAATAAGTCAGTACTGATTTTATTTATAGAAGGAAGATACTACAACACACACACATATATATATAGGATACGTTTTAACGGTCGAGAACAAAAGCAGCCACGAGTAGTACTACGTGTAATATATTTGCGTCGTTCGCAACCCCCTTTAGGGGATGGTGGTGGCATGCGCCTCTCAATTTTCTCGAAAATCTCGCCAACAAGGGTTGAGGGTAAAGGGAAGAGGAGAAGAAGTAAGAGAACAAGGGGGGTAACAACTACTAGACGACAATATCGGCTCTTCTTCTTCTCCTTAGCTCGTCTTTACTACACAACCTTTGCAAGTATATAAGTAAGAGGTTGCTACCTATGTGTATGTATGTATATATATATGCATGTATATAAGAGAGAGAGAGAGAGTGAGAGAGTGTTAACGTAAATTGTCGACTCAATAAAGTAAGGCATATAAACACTTTATCTCAGGTATAAGTGTTGCTGCACTACCTACCTAACTTTGTTGTAATAAAAAGAAGAAAAAACAAACTGAGAAAAAAAAGGAGTGGGATGAGGAGGGATGAGGATGGGTAAGGGGGTTGGTAATTCGAATGCAATAAGTAGTTTGGATAAAACAAAAGTGAAACGAATTGTATAAGTGTTGCTGTACTACTTAACTTTGTGATAATAAAAAGAGGGATAAGGATAGGTAGGGTAATTCAAATGCAATAAGTAGTTTGGATAAAGCAAAAGTGAAACGAATTGTATAATATAAGTGTTGCTGCATTACCTAACTTTGTGATAATAAAAAGAAGAAAACAAACTGAGAAAGAAAAAGAGAGGGATGAGGGTAGGTAGGGGGTTGGTAAATTCGAATGCAATAAGTAGTTTGGATAAAGCAAAAGTGAAACGAATTGTATAAGTGTTGCTGCATTACCTAACTTTGTGATAATAAAAAGAAGAAAACAAACTGAGAAAGAAAAAGAGAGGGATGAGAATGGGTACGGGGTTGATAATTTGAATGCAATAAGTAGTATGGATAAAGCAAAAGTGAAACGAATTGTATAAGTGTTTCTACACTACCTAACTTTGTGATAATAAAAAGAATAAAAATAAACTGAGAATGAAAGAAAAAGGGATAAAGATAAGTAGGGTAATTCGAATGCAATAAGTAGTTTGAATAAAGCAAAAGTGAGACGAATTTTATAGAAAGAATCAAAACCAAATCTAACATACTAACTTATTAAAAAAAGATGTATGGTGTTTAAATTTATAATACCGAGATCAAAAAAAAAATAAAATGATTCTCGTAATTGAACTAACATCTGGGTTACAACCAGATCGTGCGTTTTATTCATTCCCAAACGAATATTACAATCTGTACGATATATCTTTGTATTATTTTTAAAGAGTGAGAGAGAGAGAAAACACGTGTTCGTTCAATCATTCCAATGCTCTCATTTCCCATAGATCTTTCATTCTCGTTTTCTTTTTCTTATTCGTTTTTCTTTTTTTATTTTTTGCCTTCCATTTCTAAAGTAGTTTCTAATGTTTCTATCGGACGAGGATACGACAGATAGTTAGATAGGGTAATCAACATTTCCTATTTGTTTGTTTCTTCTTTTATGCATGGGGGGAAGGCGGGGTTGGGATGAAGAAAGAGAAAATCACTTTTTCATATGACATCATTCTCAAATTATACAATCGTGTTATACTTTTAATTCATTTCCAGATTGAAAATGTTCATAAATGTTTGAAAAATACAAAGAATAAGAAGAAGAAATAAATCTTCTTGGTAAACCAATAATAAGTTTATTACATATATTTATCTATATAAAAAAAAAAAAAAAAAAACAAAAAGAAATAGTGCAAATTGCATTATACTTTTAATTCATTTCTAAATTGAAAATATTTATAAATGTTTGAAAAAGACAAAGAATAAGAAGAAGAAATAAATCTTCTTGGTAAACCAATAATAAGTTTATTACATATATTTATCTATATAAAAAAAAAAATAACAAAAAGAAGTAGTGCAAATTGCATTATACTTTTAATTCATTTCTAAATTGAAAATATTTATAAATGTTTGAAAAAGACATAGAATAAGATGAAGAAATAAATCTTCTTGGTAAACCAATAATAAGTTTATTACATATATATATATATACATAAAAAAAACAAAAAGAAATAGTGTAAATCGTGTTATACTTTTAATCTATTTCCAGAGATTAAAAATGTTTATAAATATTTTGAAAAATACAAAGAAGAATAAGAAGAAGAAATAAATCTTCTTGGTAAACCAATAATATGTTTATTACACATATCATATATAATAAAAAAAGAAAAACCCTAAAAAGAAAGAGTGTATTTTTTATTTAGTTTCGTTTTTGTCTTTTCTGTTTTCAGACGAATTCAGGAGGAAGGTGGTTTGCGAAAACGACGTTGTTAATCTCACCTGTCACCCTGGACAGAGAGTGGCCATTTTACGTGCGTCCTTTGGTAAACCGGAGTACGAGTCCTTTCAGTGTCCGCAACCTCACGGACTGAAAAACGATAGTGAGTCCGCTCGATTAATGACCCTTTTGTTTAAAACAACCCAACATCGGAAAGGACGAGGGCAAGGAGACGGAAGAGGGAAAGGGTTCGATCGATTGAAACTCTCCCTCTTTCTCTCTCTCTCTCTCTCTTTCTCTATTTCTCTCTCTTTTTTTCTAGCTTTGATATGAGTCTAGTACGAGAGAGTATAAAAAGACGATTCGTTTGGGTGCGAGTCAAACGAAACGAATTCGTCGAATAGTTTTCCCAGGAATGCATTTTCAAACTTTCCTACGTGGGTTTCTTCGTAGTTTCGATTCGATTCGATAGAATCGAATCGATGGATAGATAGATATCGATTTTTTATTTTATTCTACGAGAGAAGCGTGGTGTTGGTGCCAACAATTTTTTGTTTTTCTTTTAAATTTTTATGTTTTTTTTTCCTTTCTTCTTCTTCTATTTTTTTCCCATCGTTATTGAAAGCAGCAGCAGCAGCAGCACCACCACCACCACCACCACTGTACTGTCACAATTTGTCTTCTTTTTTTTTTAAATCTTTATTTTCTTCTTCCTCGGGGTATATATACTTCTTCATTAATTATTATCATAAAAGAAAAGAAAAGTTCGGAAAAAAAACACTTTGTCTTCGTCGAACCAATTTTAACCACCACCACCACCACCACCACCACTCTGACTCGAATGAAAAGGTAGAAAGAAAAAATCAAATCAAATAAAATCAAATCAAATAAAATGAAATAAAATAAAAGAAAAAATTGGATGAAAGACCAGCGCCGCGTGTCTCGGTACAAAAGGATTTCAAATTATAACGCGTTGTTTAAATATACTACACAATTCAACGCGGCGTTAAATTTGCCTCCCCATTCACCCCCCCCCATCCACCTCACCTTTTTTTTTATTTCTTTTTTTTTCTTTTTTACATATTATACGGAATGAAATTCGATATTTATAAAATGTTCGTTTGATCGTTGAAAATTCAATGGGGTTCCGATTCTCCTCGTAAAGGTTTTCGTCGGCTATATTGCATCGTTAAATAAATCGGATTAAATAATGACAAAAGCTTTCGTTTATTCGTCATATTGGAGAGAAAAAAAAAAGAAAGGGGGGGGTGGTTGGTGATATCGATGACCACCGAGATAGGGGTGGAAATAAAAAGATACATTCGTTGAAGTTTCTTTCTTTCTTTCTTTTTTTTTTTTTTCTTTTTCTCTCTCTCACACTTTCGATTAAAAATTACTGCGAACAGAAAAACACTTTGGTTTAACAACGCGGAAATAGAATTATATTTAAACAAGAGAATAATATCGAAAAGAAAAAGATACCACCATAACGACGATCGTAGGTACCGTTAAGAGAATTAACACCAACCACAGAGGGGGGGTGGAGAATACGGGGGTGAGTTTACGTCATTAAAATAAAAACGTAACGTGAGTTATAAAAAGGTTCGCGTTAACGTTCTTGATAATTCCAACGATCTGAGATAAAATCTTAAGAATCGATGTACCTGGGGAAGGATAGGGAAGGGAGGAGGCTTATGGGGGAAGGAGTTAGATTTTTCTATGGGAGTAGAAAAGGTGAGGTGAGGTAAGAAAAGTAGAATTCAACTTGTGTGTCTTCTCTTTTAACGATAGTTACCTTTTTTTTATTTTCACATTTGGAAGTACACCCCGAAGCTTTCCTTTGTCAAACAAAATGAATAAAAAAACAAAAAAGAAAAAGAATAAAAAAAGAATATAACTGGTACACGTTTAATGGACGTTTTACGTGAGAATAGGGGGAGTGGGAGAGGGAGGGGTAGGATTAGGGGGTGGGCACATGACCTGTTGGTGAAGTTTGCGAGATTCTCTTTTACCTTGCCTTCCCTTCCACCCTATGCATCGGTCGAACTTTCTTGGTTGGCTAGGGAAAGGGTCTAGAAAAGGTTCGACCCTCGTCGTCGTTATCCTACAGTCGAAAGTAATAATAATAGTTGCTTCTAGATAGTAGTTGGTTACGGTTAAAAGCATTTGGTAGCCCCCCCCCCTTACTGTTGCGTAGCTTTTTCTTCATCATGACAAATAATACAACTTTTTATCAGGATTTTTCCTTAGAAGCTTTTATTCTTAACTTAATACTACTACTACTACTACTACTACTATTACTATTACTACTGTCCTATCCTATTACGTATCTATAACTTTATCATTTATCTTTTCCTGTTATATTTAACGTCACGTAAATTGTTATTAACTTGTTCGAACACATAGAGAAACTTGACGACATCTTTATGTGGTATACGTTTGAGTCTGTGTTTGTATGCGTATGTCAGGTGGAGAGAAGAGTCAATGGATTTTTATTTTCTTCTATTTTATTTATTTTTTATTTCTTTGTTTATCACTGAACCAATATAGAAACGTGGTTTTCTCTGATAGTACTATTTCTAAGAGATTAACGGGGTGTTATATATCAGAGAATGCAATGCTATAAATTGTACAACTTTACTATTTCTTTGAAAAGTTTTGGTAAATATTTTTTATACTAAAAGTGAATAGATTTTAATGAAACTTATATTAAATTAAAGTGCACTCTTTTATCTACGCGTAGAATACCATATCGAGTTATAAATTTCGCATGTAAAGTTCAGAAAATGTCAGATAATGCAATGCCGTAAATTGTGCATCTATGCAATTTCTTTGAAAAGTTTTGGTCAATATTTTTCATACTTTTTGCAAATGGATTTTAATGA